TTTTTTTTTTTGCCAGAGAAATGTTTGCCGCGTTAATTAAATTGCCGGACATGTTGGCATTCGTCGGCCGAAGACCAGGTCAATGCTTCGTTTTGCAAAAAAACAAAAGGTTGGGTACCGAAGTGCCAAGGTCCCAAAGTCGTGACAGGAGCGCAAAAGTCGATAAGGTCGTGATGTCATATGCAATTTTGCCAATTTAAAATAATTTCTGAAAACATTATTAGGGAGCAGAATGGCCCTCTTATAAAACCTCAATCTTGACTTTTTAAATGTGTCTATTTTCTCATCTGAACACTACCCGACACAGTTAGGCGGTAGCAGCGTTTAACGGCTATGAAGTCAACAGTTGGTTTCATAGTGGAGTCAACTTTCTATATACGACAAGTAAACCTACCATATTCTCTGATTACTTAAATCACACTAATATGATTTTATTAATATGGTAGATTTATTTATTGTATACAGAAGGTTGGCTCCATTATAGAGTCAATTGTTGGCTTAATAGCAAAACCGTAGCATTTAATTGTGGAAACTTCAAAACTATCATAAAAAAACTTATACCGACAACAAGTGAACCACCTAAATATCAGTCAGATGTAATGGTTTTCTATTATTATTATTATTATTATTATTATTATTTTTATTATTATTATTATTATTATTATTATTATTATGTTGATGGATTATGTTTTTTTTATTATACTCATCACTCGTAACTAGCTTATCATCTAATAATTCATTTATAAATTAGGCTAAATTGCATATAAAAGCACCACCTTTCATGTTTTTGCAATTTAATCACCACTTTTGCAATTTAGCAATTTAATACACCACTTAAGTTATTTTTTGCAATTCGAATCACAGGGCCCAATTTTGGGCCTGTTCTGGTGACGTGGAGGCCCGTTCTGCTGATATGGTATTTTTGTGATAACGTGGTGTTTCCACGTGTCAATGACGTGGCATTTTTGGGCTGACATGGCGACCCATGTGTCAATTAAAAAAAAAAAATATGTTGCACGCTCTGAGATTCGATCCTGGGTTGAAGGGGTTGAAGGGTAGCCTTAGCTACCACCACACCAGACCAACTTAGTTGTTAAATGTGATAACCCTTTATATATATACACATTACATTACGTATGGAGAAATCAAATTACATCTAAAAAAATAATTTAATTATATTAAATAAAATTATATAAAATTGAATTAAAAA